TGGGTATTGACTGTTGATGCTCTCTGCGGTTGCCGGTTTGACTGCCGGTTAACGTACTGACTGTTCTTCGTGGCACGCAGTTCAACTATGAAGATCACCGAGCTACTGGTGCGGATGAATTACATCTGGATTGTCCTTTCTGCATTATACCACTCGGTGGCATGGACGATGCTCCAGTATTCGGCGACGGAACTTATTCAGCTCCGTCTGCATCCTTTTAATTTTCTGTCAGCTCCACTTCTTCCCTTGGATATTGTGTACATACCACGTCGGAAATATATACATCGCGGGTCTCGTCGGAGTTATAACATCGATGGCTCGTGTCAAATACGGTCATTTTGGTCATCTAAACCACGCTCACCGAGGAGGCTCACACGGACTGCCGATCACAGTGTACTAACCAACCCGGCCAGATTGGTTGGCAACGATTCTGGTAAAAAATATTTTTCCTTTGGTTTACTTAATATACGATCACTTTCCACTAAAGGACCCCTGGTGTACGATTTACTGTCTGATCGTGAATTTGACTTTTTCTGTCTAACTGAGACGTGGCAGAAACCAGATGACTTTTTCCATCTAAACCAGTCTGTTCCCCCGGGATATAGTTACGTTTGTAAATCTCGTGGTACGGGAAGGGGAGGGGGGCTAGCAATACTTTATAAAGAGAAATTGAAAGTATCTCAGTTAACTATGTCCACATATTCTTCTTTTCAATCAATTGCCTTAAAAGTTAATGGTGCGATTCCTACCATCCTCATAACTATCTACCGCCCTCCCAAGAGCAATAATGCCTTTTTTAACTGAACTGTCTGAACTCTTGACTCATCTATGTTCCATATCTTCAAATGTTATCCTTTTGGGTGATTTTAGCATTCATGTAGATAATGTCAGCAATGCATTTACAAGTGAATTTTTATCATGTTTGGATTGCTTTGGTATACAACAATTTAACACATTGCCCACTCATACTAAGGGGCATATTCTTGATCTTGTTTGCAGCTCGGGTATAACACCTTTTACTTGTACTGTTTCTGATCTATCCATATCAGATCACTTTCTGGTGTCTTTTTGTGCCAAACTTGTCATTTTTAAGGTAAACCTGTGTCGCCCGATTACATTTCGGAATATTAAAAACATTGATCTGCATACCTTTGCTGATGAACTTGTCATCTTCTCCAGTAAATCTGATTTCTCTACTGTTGATGAATTGGTAAAATATTACGATGATGGACTGAATATGATTTTAGATGAATTTGCACCTATGAAAACTCGAACTGTTTCATTTATACATTTGGCTTCTTGGTTTACACCTGAACTGCGTGAACTTAAAACTATAGGCCGTAGGTTAGAGCGGCTGTACCTCAGGTCTGGCCTTACTGTTCATAAAGACATGTATGCTGAACATATTCAGAACTATAAGAATGGACTGACTAAAGCTAAATCCGATTACTACTCCAACGTAATTGGACTTAGCAATGGGAACTCCAGGTCTCTTTTCTTGGCGGTAAACAATATTCTGAAACCACCTGATTCTTTGCCATCTGATATGTATTCCACTGACTTATGTAATCGCCTTTTGACTTTTTTACATCTAAGGTTGAAAATGTACATCAGCAATTACTTACTGGTACTCTCCACAATGACTCCTGTCAGCCTATCACTCACGTACCTCTCCACTCTGCTTTCTCTACCTTTACACTACCAACTACTTCAGAGATTGTGGGTCTGATAGGTAAATCTAAATCTTCGACTTGTCAGTTAGACCCTCTACCAACTCCTTTAGTGAAAGCTTGTTTACCAGCCCCTTTGCCATTGATTACGAAAATTGTTCACAGTTCACTTGGGTCTGGTTTTGTATCTCCAACTCTTAAATTTGCTATTATTACACCCATACTTAAGAAACCAGGGTGTGATCCCTTTAATTTCAACAATTTTCGTCCCATTTCAAATTTACCATTTATCTCTAAGGTAGTGGAAAAGTGTATTGCAATTCAAATTCATGAACATCTCTCCAATAATTACTTGAATGAACAATTCCAATCTGGATTTCGTCCACACCACAGCATTGAGACTGCTCTTGTCAGAATAACTAATGATCTACTGTTGGCAGCTGACTCTGGGCTTTTAACCATTCTTGTCCTTCTAGACTTGAGCGCTGCCTTTGATACTGTCTCACACCAGATACTTCTTGACAGGTTAGCTTCCATTGGTATTACTGGCACTGCTCTGTCTTGGTTTAGGTCATATCTCTATGGACGCAGTCAGCGTATTTAATTAATAGGTTTTAGTTCTAGAATATTGACAGTCACCACTGGTGTTCCCCAGGGTTCTGTTTTGGGCCCGCTTCTTTTCATTATCTATATGCTCCCTCTTGGTGATATTTTAAGGAAATATGGTATTCATTTTCACTGTTATGCGGATGACACCCAACTTTACCTGTCTGCTAAACCCTGGTTCTTTTCCTCCGCCATCTTTGTCAAGCTGTTTAGCTGAAATTAAAGTTTGGCTTTCAGCAAACTTCTTGAAGTTAAATGGCAATAAAACTGAGGCTCTGCTTGTTGGCACTAAATCTGTTGTATCTAAATCGAGTTGTTTCTCTCTATACATTGACAATACTGCAATCTGTCCTTCCTCTCAGGTTAAAAGTTTGGGTGTCATAATGGATGGCACATTATCCTTTCAAGCACAAATTAATAATATCACGCGAATTGCATACTTCCATTTACGCAATATTAACCGTCTCCGTCCCTTTCTCTCAAATAGTAATACTGCAGTTCTTATCCACGCACTAGTCACTTCACGTATAGACTACTGCAATGCTCTTTTCACAGGTATTCCGTCCAAATTGCTGCATAAGCTTCAGTTGGTCCAGAACTCTGCAGCTCGTGTTCTTTCTAGAATACCCTATACTGACCACATTTCTCCAGTTCTTCAGCAGTTGCACTGGCTACCATTAAAATATAGAGTTGAATTTAAAATCTTGCTACTCACTTATAAGGCACTTCATAATTTTGCACCACAATACCTTACTCAACTTCTCCATGTTTACACCCCTTCACGTGCACTCAGATCTTCTTCTTCAATTTCTCTTGTGGTACCTCGGATTCGACTTACCACCATGGGTGCCAGATCTTTTAGTTATGCTGCCCCCCGCCTATGGAACTCTCTTCCTCTTGATGTTCGCAATAGCGAGTGCTTGCTGACTTTTAAAACGCGCCTTAAGACATATCTTTTTATTCAGGCTTTTTTATAACGTTTTATTGAGATTTAACTGCACTTTATATGTATACGCTGTTTGATTGTTGTGTTTTGATTTGTGTAGTGACCTGTATATTTCTTGTGAGGTGATCTTGGATGTTCTGAAAGGCGCCATGAAATAAAATGCATTATTATTATTATTATTAAAGAGTTTTATCTCTAAAAACTGTTTAGCTTATAATGCATTGAATAAGTAAAAAGAAATCGCTAGTTAATACCACTAACAAGGCTCAAAATAGCCCCACACTAACATGGTAGCACAATGAGGGTCCCTACATGCAAACTGAAGCATTGAGAACTTTGTAAGTGTACAGACAGTTTAATAAAAAGATACTTTATAAAGACAATACACTTCACGTATACAGGCAGGAGCCATCTTGGAAAAGAGTCTCGACCAGTCAAACCACGTCTTGGAATCTCATATGAAAGTATGGGACCCTTTCTTCCCTTGTAGTTAGTCACCCATATATTTTAATAAACAGATATAATTCATGCATTTCCATGTAATTAGATTTCACAAACGTAATTCCGATGGACCAGCTCACTTAGCACAGCGTTCATGGTTCGACTGGTCGAGACTGTTTTCCAAGATGGCTCCTGCCTGTATACGCGAAGTGTTAGTAAATCATAATAAAGCACAAATCAACTGATAGTTCTTTCAAATGATTAAAAGACTCTTATCATAGCATCATTCCCTTGTTCTGTTTCCGGGTTCATTCACTTTCCATTTTACCCATGTATGCATCGTCTGCGTGTTTTAGATTAGTTGTGTACATGATTTAGTTAAATAAAACTTTGTGTACATTCATTCTGGTCCCTTGCTTGTAAATCAACATCAATTTAATGATTGTGATCACAGCTACATGCTAAGAAAGAGTTATTTTTCTGTGGCCATGAGAAATATCTTCCCTGAGAGTTAATAGATGATCAATACTGAGTGTTCGCTGGACGAACAGATTCATTGATTGTAATATTAATTCAGCTACATGTAATTAATTATGTGTTATGATTCATTATTCATATGTCTTTGGTTCACTGCAGTTTAATGAGAAAATACTCAGCAGTGATGTTGACTGAATTTGCGCAAGGTTTGTATTAAAGCACCACATAGACAACATTAAAAATATGATTTTCACCTCAGGAGGTCTTTAATGCAGAACATTGTTATTTTTTACTAGTAATAGGGTAAAGAAATGAAAATAAGACTGAATAATTTCATGTAAAATTAAAGTTGAATGTATGAATGAGAAGCCGAAGATTGTAATAGAAAATCACTAAATAATCCAATCCCACCTATATAAATTGTCCCTAAAATATACAAAGCATTATTTTTTACAGAAAGTTTAATACAGTGTGTTATTATAAGTGCTGTTGCATAATCGTATCTAACATAAAAGTTTGCGCTTTATATTTATATGTATACAGTGTGTGTATGCAATTTTGTATATATATATATATATATACACACACACACACAAATATATTATATATAAACAAACTTTTAAGTTTAACCAAATAATTCAGTGCAATGTTCAATATTCACTATTTATTCAGTTCCCTTTCTCTCTCTCTCTCTCTCTCTCTCTCTCTCTCTCTCTATATATATATATATATACACACACACACACACACACACATTTCATTCTTCATAGAATTTTACAGCAATACAGAAGCTTATCCTAATATTGTGAATGCACAAGTGATTTTTGAAATTGCTCCTTTTACTAAACCTCATGCACAGATCATTCCAGTTTCTTGTCAGAATGAGTGTGCATATGACGTTTCAGGTCTCTTTTATACATAAAACTACTTCCACACTGAGGGCACGTGAAAGGCCTCTCTCCTGTGTGAACTCTTATGTGAATCTTAAGGTTTCCTTTAAATGTGAAACTCTTGTCACACTGAGGGCAGATGTAAAGCTTCTCTCCCGTGTGAATTCTTATGTGAACGTCAAGGTTTGCTTTGTTTTTACAAGTCTTTCCACAGTGATGACACATGAAAGGCTTCTCTCCAATGTGAGTTATTACATGATTCTTAAGGTGATCACTGTCTATGAAACTCCTTTCACACTGATGACATGTAAAACTGTTTCCTCTTGAGTGAATCCTCATGTGCTTATTATAAGTGGCTTTAAATCTCATACTCTTTCCACACTGGTCACATGTGAATGGGTTCTCTCCGGTGTGAACTCTCATGTGAGTCTTAAGACCTCCTTTTCGGGAGAAGCTCTTCCCACAATGATTGCAGATGAAAGCGTCTCCTCCAGTGTGAATTTTCATGTGGACGTTAAAGTTTCCTCTTTGAGTGAAACTTATTCCACACTGTTGGCAGGTGAAAGGCTTCTCTCCTTTATGAAGTCTCATGTGGACATTAAGGTTTCCTCTATGAGTGAAACTTTTCTCACACTGTTGGCAGTTAAAATGACGTCTGGTTTTTGCCTTTTGACCTCTTTTTCGTGAGGAGGTCTTTTTTGTCTTTGAGCAACCAAAACATTTTTTTCCGTTCATAATATCCTGGTCTTTCTCATTTTGAATTTTCACTTCAATTTCCTTTGGTTCTTGACTCTCCTCTTTCAGCTGCATCAGGTCTAAAACAAAACAAATATCAGTTAACCCTTTTTAATGACAAAGCAACAGACATCAAAACCAACATAAAAGCATCCAAAACAAATAGCATCAAAACCAGCAATAAGTATACTAGATCCTACACACACTAAGCTACTAAAAGAGGTGTTACGTTTTATTCCAAATAATTACATTTGCAGATTAATAAAATCGTAAACTAATCACACCTTTGGCAGAGAAATAACCCCCAAAAGATCATTTAAAGTCATTATTGTGCAAGATGATAAAAGTATTGAGTAGACATTACAAAAAAGTTATTTTAAAAATACATATTTTATACTATTTAAGCAACTTAAATTGCCCTGTAAAGGGACAAATAAAGATTTTTACTACTACTACTACTATTAACTAATTAATTTACACACTTTTCAGGCTGTATCCTCTAACTTGCACATTGTCTTGCCCCAATGCAGCAATAGACTTGTTTCAAAATAACCTTCCAAAATATAGGCAGCTGCTGATATATGAATAGAAAAAACACAGGTCAAGTCAAATTACTCGTTTACACGACGTACTAAAAACAGAAGATTTTTCTTTGTACAAACGGAAACTTTGTAGAAAAGATCCCCGTTCAGAGGGATCCGCGAATATGACTAAAAATGCTGTAATATTTGTTTATTTTTATTTTGTTTATTTTTTAGGATCCCATTAGCTGAAAGTCTGTGCAATCAGCTAGTCTTCCTGGGTCCTAATATGCATGCCAGGCCAGTAGTTGGCGATGTCACTTTGTAAGGAACACTAAGCGCATGCGCACATACAATCACGCCAGAGGTTGTTAAGTCCCGAAGAGACCTTCAAGTAGGTTTGGTCATTACTTTCCAACGTTGTTTTAGCCATCCCAAGTCATGGAGATAATTGACATTGGGACAATTGAGACATTGATCTGAACTTTTGTTTTGCCCCCATTTTTCATGAGCTGACCTCAAAGATCTAAGACTTTTTCTATGTACACAGATTTATGAACAATATTTGCGTTAGTGAGCACTTCTCTTTTGCCGAGATAATCCATCCACCTCACAGGTGTGGCATATCAAGATGCTGATTAGACAGCATGATTATTGCACAGATGTGCCTAATGCCGAGTTCAGACTGCACGATTTTAGCTCGCCGACAGGTTTTGAGAAATCGCCGACAAATGCCCGAAATCACAGCCAAATCGGTGCTCGTTCACGCGAGTGACAATCACGCAGTGTGAATGAGCAAAGACACGATCTGAGAGATTAGCCGACGAGTCGCCGACGCCCGTGAGATATTTGGCATGCTAAATATCTGGACCTGTCGGCGATTCACAATCCTGCTGTGTGAATGTGTTCTGACTGAAAACTACATCGGCGATGACCGACAGCCAATGAGAGAGCAAGATACAGGGAGGAGGAGGAGGAGGAGTTATAGACCAGAATATCAGTATTTTAATAGATAGGCCTATATTTACAATTATATCAAACAAAAACAAAGCACAAAAATTTGCATGACTAGCAGCAACAGCAGGACATTTGCAAAATTATTAATTTACCCCCAACTCTCTTTGCAAAACTCAGTCCTTGCTCCCCTCGTCTTCCCAACCATTTCCTGCATAAACTGTTTATTATTATTTGTTCATTTTTGCTACAAATCAGTGCATAGACAATTTGTAGGCTATCATTTTTAATAACAAATTCAGTGTCGCGCGAGAACTCCGGTCTCACGCACGCGTGATCTTCCGTTATTTCCTATCACTTCTCGCGTTTGTTTGGTTGTGAAACGTAGTTTGCGGACCAGGCAGACGTTGTCGGCGATTCTTTCTTTTGTAAAGTCATGCAGTGTGAAACCTCCTGTCGCCGATCCATCGTGCAGTGTGAACACAGCAGCAACTGAATGTTACCCCAGATAGTCATGCAGTGTGAAAACAACAGTGACCCGATTATTTTGAAAATCGTGCAGTCTGAACTCGGCATTAGGCTGGCCACTCTAAAATGTGGTTTTGTCAAACAGCACAATGCCACAGATGTCGCAAGTTTTGAGGTAGCGTGCAATTGGCATGCTGACTGCAGGAATGTCCAGCAGAGCTGTTGACTGTGAAATGAATGTTTATTTCTCTACAATAAGCCGTCTCCAAAGGTGTTTCAGAGAATTTGGCAGTACATCCAACCGGCCTCACAACCGCAGACCACGTGTAACCACACCAGCCCAGGACCTCCACATCCAGCATCTTCACCTCCAAGATAGTCTCAGATCGGACAGCTGCTGCAACAATCAGTTTGCATAACCAAAATATTTCTGCACAAACTGTCAGAAACAGTCTCAGGGAAGCTCATCTGCATGCTCGTCGTCCTCATCGGGGTCTCGACCTGACTGTAGTTCGTCGTTGTAACCGACTTGAGTGGGCAAATGCTCAGATTCGATGGCGTCTGGCACTTTGAGGGGTGTTCTCTTCACTGTACAGGGCAGATGGCAGACAATGTGATCAAGCTAATGTGTTAGGCTAGCATCGCTAGTTTTAAGATGGCTGCCATGGGGTTGGACAGTTACAACGCATTGTTGCAACTGTCCCCACACGGTGTTGCAACTGTCCCTAATGACAATAAGATAAAATTCATATAAAGGGCAATTCAGTGGCTTGATTAAGAACATATTTCAATAGCCAGGTGTCTCCTCTTTGTATTTCAGCAAATTGCTTTTTTAAAAGTCAAACTAGGCAGCAGTGTATCCTACATTTTCTGTTCAGTTCTTCCAGTATGCCACAAGACAGGAAAAAGACAACAGAATAGGTAGGGGTGTCCCTCTACCTATTCTGTCCTTAGCAGCTGCTGTAGTGAGCTATGACGGCAGGACAGTGAGGTCTTTGGCAAAACAGTATTCAATTTGCCACACAACCCTATACCGCTTTATTAAAAAGAGAGAGAGGCTAAGTCCAGGAGAGGAGATGAGGACATGTTACTGGACCCCGAGGAGGGTCTTCTCAGTCCAACAGGAAGATAGCCTGGCAGAATACCTAAAAAGACCAGCTGATCTTTTCTATGGTCTCAGCACTAAAGACGTAGGCCTAAGCATGAGGAAGGTATTAAAGCAGAGTGTATGCTTAAAGGGAGGGCTGGTAGGGAGAATTATATAAGAATATTGAGACTGTAAAATAATAATAAGAGAAATTACCATTCCTCCTCTATTTTCATTTACCATACATTTCGCAGGTTCGTCGCTTGGCCTTCCAACTGGCCGTCTACTACGAGTGCTCCCTGACTGGCCGGGATTGGTTAATGGGGTTCATGAAAAGACAGCCCAGGCTGTGTTCCAGTCCAAAATTGTCATGCCCTTCACTCGCTAACTTCCCTCTGTCTTGTTCACTCGGATGTACGTCATTGCTTACGTTGCACGAGTGCCCACTACTGGCGGAAACTGCAATTGGCTGAATTGGAACGTCCTAAGCCCTTGATCACTTGGAATCAGCCATGGAGTTGATTTATTATTTTAAAAAAAAATTCCTTTAAGAATTTGTTTAATGCAGCATCCAAATGTATATAGTTGTGTTTGGGTTGTTTTAAATTAAAAATATATACAATTAATATATCAGAGTTGTTTGTGGTGGTGGTGATTAGTCGAGATCTGCGGTGACGTCACAATTGTGTTGCATTGTGGTATATGGAGCTGCCTGAAGTGTACATATGAAGTAGACTCGCTCCCTCGGTCAAAATCGAGGTAACAAGTGTCTGTCCATATAAACTTCCCTCGTCCACTTCACGAAGTGGAACGCACTTCAAAATGGCGGCAGGGATTCCCCCGAGGGGAAGTGCTTAGGGAAGTTCGCAAGTGCGTGTCTAAAAGTGGACTGGAACGCAGCCCCAGTCTGTCTATACGATGCCCTCAAGCTACCAGTCTCACAAGGAACACAAGCTTCAACGTCACAAAGTATCCTTGTTTTACGACAATCTTGCCAATGTGCTTGACAAAAACAAATTTGAAGGGAAGGACATCTGGAATGTGGATGAGACCAAGGTCACAACTGACCAACCAGAAAATGTTGTTGCCAGGCACGGCGTCAGACAGGTGGGGGCAGTAACATCCAGAGAGAGAGGAACACTGGTAACAGTTGCATGTGCAGGCAATGCATTAGGGAACATGATTCCACCCATATTAACTTCAAGGACCATTTCATCCGCGATGGCCCGCCTGGATGCATTGGAGACATCAGGGTGTATGATGGATGACCATTTCCTTCAGTTCCTTAAACATTTCCACCACCACACGAGGGCCTCATTGGATGCCAAAGTCCTCTTGATAATCATAACTCTCATCTTTCTGTAAGAGGAATAGATTTTTGCAGAGAAAATGGCATTGTGTGAGCAATGGGGTGGAAACGATAGCATGACAAATTACAGCCACTGGATCAGACCGTTTATGGCCCCCTAAAACTTCTCTGGATGAGAAGTCACCCAGGCCTGACGATGTCCATCTACGACATTCCTGGAATTGTTAGGTTGGCCCTCCCATTGGCTAGAACACCTGGCAATGTGCAGAATGGCTTTAGCAGCACTGGAATGTGGCCTTATAACCATGATAAATTCAAAGACAGTGACTTTGCAGCACCTTTGGTGACAGACCGGCGGCCGCCACCACCACCACCACCAGTTCTTCCAGAGAAAGCTGGGATATCTGCTCCTTTGGAAGTTTCTCCAGTGCAAGCTGGGCCTTCCGCTTCTTCTGCAGTTCCTCCAGTGCATGCTGGGACTTCTGCTTCTACTACAGTTCCTCCAGTGCAAGCTGAGTTCTCACCTGAGACTGTTAGACCTCACCCCAGAGCAGGACCACGGAACATAACGAAAGCAAACGGTAGGAAAAAATGCAAATGGACCATTGACAGACAACCCCGAAAAGGAGGCTTTAGAGAGGGAGAAAGCAAAAGTTAAGAGAAAACTGACAATAAAACACACTGGAAACAAGCCAACAAACCAAAACCGAGAAGAAAAAGCATACAGAGAAGGACGATGGCTCTGAGAAAGAAGAAGATTTTTGCATTGTCTGTTTGGAGAGCTACTCCAGACCGAGAGAGGTGTGGCTTCAGTGTTGGCAGTGCAAGGCATGGGCTCATGAAGCCTGCACTGGTCTAAGATAAATAATAGATGTGACAAATGAGTGATCCCATGATCCTTTATTTTAAGTGATTTTAAATTTTAAATAATCCCTTAGGGCCTACATAAATCAGTTTGTGGGATTTTGACAAAGGTGTTAGATGGTTGTGTACTTGTTTTTATCTTTAATAAGTTAACTCAATGAACTTTGGTCTCAAATAAACTAAAAAAAGATTTGAAAAATGATGCCGAAGTAAGAGTTTTATTACACCTAATTGACTGTTGCAACTGCCCCTCGGTACTGTTGCAAGTTGCAACATTTTTCAGGGTCCATTTAAGTACAAATTACTTTCATATTATCATATGTACACGTTGCAACAGTATGGGCAGGTAGGTGACATATATGGGTTTAAAATATATAGTTTTCATCTTTCTAATACAAACAGTCGCTGAGAAACTGAAGGAAATGTAAAGTGTTGCAACCGCCCCCACTCTCCCCTACTTACCTCACCTAACATCTTATATTTCTCTGTTATTACATTTAGGCACTTCATTGGTGTGAACTCTGAGAGAGGAATAAAGACCAGCAAGGTCTGAAGGTGGTGTCCAAGAATCCAACTGTGGCCACCCTTATATAAAACCTAATGGACTTTAAATTGGGCTTTTAGTCATGGGAGTCACAGCATTGTGTTCTGTTTAGCCCAGTCTCACTGGTGAAGTGGAAATAGCATCAATTTATGAATGTATTTGATGCAATATTAACTTATTAAAATATCCAGCTCTACAGAAATTTGTGATAGGTTGGAGTTCATTTAGGTTCAGGTTTGAGAACGAAACCAACCTGTTTGTGTCTCAGTATCTTCATTTTCCACTTCTTCAATCTTCATGTTTTCACTCTCCTCTTTAATAAATGCCATCTTTATGTCATGTGGATCTCAGCTGCTCCAACCTGAGTTGTCCTGTCATATTGAAGATAATAATAAACAACAGAAAGAAAAATAAATCAAAACTACAACTCTGTGTGTGTCTCAATCTCTATGTGATTACTTAACAGGGCTGCACTACTGTTTTTAAACCAAAACCATGATTTAAAAGGGTGTGATTTTTCCACGATTATTTTGATTAAGGATATGGTAACAAGCATCCACTTAGTCGATGAACTGAGTCGGTTTGCGTCCTGTGTATTTACCGTTTGATGCAGAGTTTTAAAAGGGTCATGAACTGGATTTTTGCATTTTTTATACTGTTGTCTGAGGTCAACTTTTTATGTTTGCGTCGTTTTTACATTCAAAAACATCATGACGAATAAGTAATAGGCCATTTTCTACCCTGGTTTTGAACCTAGCTCCTGGAAACCCTCAGTTTTTATGGGTGTGCTGCATTTAAAGATACAATATGTATGATTTTTCGCCACCAGGGGTCGCTATTGATGACGCAAAGCATTAAGCGGAATTATGGATCTTGTCGTCAAGCTGATGGTTCTTTAATGGATGAGTGAATACATTGATGTTTTTAACATGACTGTGATATGAAGCAGGGCGCGATTGCTAATGAGAGACGTATATCAGCGCCACACGCGACGCGAGTCCCGCGGATATAAAGGAATAAGGACGTTTCATTCTACCGAACTACACGCAAGTGCTGAATTAATAAGTTACTCACAGGTCAGTTTATTAGACGAATTAAACTTGAGGTAACGCAGCGCTGTTTCACTTGCTCTAACAGTTACACTATCAAACGGCATTTGAGTGTGTTGAATGTTGTTAGGTTGTTTGTTGGCTATATGAGTAAGCTAGATCAACATTAGAATAACATACAGATCATATTCTAACATTTCATCATGTTGAACTAAATAACATTGATTAGTTTTATGTACATTTGCTCACCTGTCTAATAAAGTACATGCAACACTCGCGTCTCTGTCAAGTCGAAGTTAGTCGTGGAAAAATGGCAACCGGAATGATTCGCCCACACATGTTCGAACCAGAGTCTGATCATGAATCGCAGGACAATACGTCCTTCATAGTTGGACCCTTCTGTGACTGTTACAGATCGTTTGATATGGATTATGTGTGTGTGTCTAACAAATGCAATACTAGCACATATAAAAAAAAAAACATTTTTCTCTCACATAAGTGTGTTGCACCGTTCCTGTCGGATCCAATATAGAAGGGACAGCATCATGTTTTAATCTCATTCTGTCTGCAAATCCAGCCTTGATCTTTGTCTTGTTTACAAAAGAATCCAGGGTGAAATGGGGCAAAACAAACGCACACAGTCTTACCATTATCATACCATATCATCGTTAAAAATCAAGTTCAACCACTCATTCCTAAAATTGTAATCTGAAGGAAGCTTATATGCAGCGACTGTGCTCTTCCACAACCAGGCACTGCACAATATTTTGTAATCTTCAGCGGCATTTTTATTGCTTGGTAGCTCGATCAGGTTTAGCCTATGTTATTTACCTATTACATGTCATGGGCGAATCGGTGGGCGGGGCAGACATCAAATAGACATCTCTGAGATGCTATCAGGTTTGCTGCTGAGCTGAAAGAGGTGGAATATTACCCAACCACATAACATGTGACCCAAGCGGACGGCTGAAACATATCAAAGTCTCACGGTTCATCTCTTATGAGAGGATTTTGAATTAAAGAGTTCTTTACAAACGTCGTACTTTCCAATTGACCATACGGGAGAAAACACTTCTGGATGTGCCAGCTGGCTGTTTGGCGATTCAAACTACGCTACGGTAAAGCCAAAACGAAGGTGGCCAGGTGTTCATCACCACTGACAACGCAGCCAACATAATAAGGGTAGTGGAAATAAGTGGACGGGTCAGGCTTCAGTGCTTTGGTCACAGACTCCATCTTGCTTTCGGTAAGTGTTCATATATAATATAAATAATATAATCTGAAATTATTTATATATAAATGACAACTGTTAAAAATAATGTTGGGTCTTTAATTCAAGTAAGGAATAATTGACGACAGGCCAAATTACAGTGAAGTGCAATCGTTTTCGTACGGTGCTCGGCCGTGGCCAAAAGGATTTAAGTAGTTAATTTTGAAGTGATCTCTTCTAGTAAACTCAGAGATGTGGATTCGGACAGCAATGAAATTACCAAATGACCTTAGTGTTTAAAAAAAAAAAGGTAATTTGGCTAGGGATTTCTACATGGGTGGTGGGAGAAAAACACTGACATTTTGGATTCGGATGGCAATAAAATACAAACTGACCCCTGTAAAAGCTGAAAATACGTTGTCCACATGAGAAACCATTAACATCCGAACGGGGCTATTGTTGCCACCTTAATGTAGGTTTTGATCAGTGTTTGTATTCTTAAAAGATTAAGATTTGTTTATTTAACGTTATTCAAGTTACTATAGTTATTTGCTGAATTTGTCATAACAGATGTTTGTATCATGACAACTTTATTTGAAAGATAAATAAATTAAATGCCACAATGTTAGTGTTTTAAATAATCATTAAAACAGTTTATGATTATGCTTGGTGCTGTTAAAACTCCAAGACAAACCTGTAGCTCTTTTTTATAAATCACAATTTGGATAAAAAATAAGTCATAATTCGATCTTTTCCTCCAAATCGTGCAGTCCCATTACTACTTAATTTAACAGATTACACTTTTATTACATTCAGGGTTCATATACATTTTTAGAAATTGACCAACAATCATTTGCATTTCAACCTAAATTTTAGGTCACAATAAAATGGTGTCAGATAAGACTTTAATTAACATTAAAATTACTTTACACACCTGATTCACGATATAGGATGAGAAATGAGACGCACCTTTGTTATCAGTCATTTGTGGACGCGCTTTACTCAACAATAACGTTTATTAATGTTAGATAAGCATTACAATGTTACATTCAAAAATAATAAATTAATGCACAACACTTATAAAAACTATAAAATAGAGAAAACAGTTTGCATCGATTTAAATACTTTAAATGCATAAAAACACAAACCTTTCTTCAGCCGAATCACAAGAGATGCAGGAGCGCGGCGCCCGGCTTATGACGTCAGATCGCCAAACCAAAATAAAAGTCCCGCTCGCGCTGCTGTGTCTAAAATCACAAACGTGCATAGAAAAAAAAAGAGAAACACACTATGATAATAAAATAACTTATCAGGGCTATTAAGAGTTGAAATCCTAGTGAAATACATATTTTAAATACGTTGTCCAATTATGTGCTGAAACCAACAGCCAATGAAAGAGTATAGCTATCTAATATTTAGGAGAAAAACAGTCTGTTTGAATGCAAACAATATTTTTTTTATAGGTTTATAGGTTTTTTTTCCCCCAAGTTAATTTATGCTTAGTTTTTCATGAAAGAACCGTAGAATAACCGTTATACAATAAACAAGATTTGTCATTAAAATTAGGGGGAATCTTAATTAGGGACATAGACTACTTTAAAAACACAAAAACAAATACACAACATCAATACTAATATGTTGCTGTGTGTTATTAATATAATATGCAGCATTAATTGTGATTGCAGGCCACTGCCTTTTTTTTTCTACAACCTGACGAACTAACGTATAAATCCGACAGACTCAATCCCATTAGGCATTGTCATGTAAACGAACATGTATGGAATGCCAAAGCTGACTTAATTAAAAATAAATATACATAAATTAATGTGGAAATAAATAAATGAATAAATGTATAAATAAAATAAAAAAAATGTGTGAAAAAATACAATTATACATAAATAAGGAAATAAAAGTATAAATACTCATTTATTTGTACTTTTGTACATTTCTTTGTATATTTATTTATGTATTTTTGCTTTTTTACATTTCTTCGTATATTTATTTATTTTTAAATAAGTCAGCTTTGGCATTCCATAAACATGGCCCATTGCCTGCCATAACTCATCAAATCGCAAGATCGTTACACTTACACAAACGAGTGACAGTGGAGTTGAGACATCTGGTTGGAGCAGTTGTGTAAGTAGAAATATAACACTTCATAAAACAAAATGGTAATATTTCTCATTTAGCCTAATAGTTTTGTTTTTCTCTGTTTTTTCTTTCCCCAGGCATCCACCGCACTCCTCTCGGGATCCTCCTCTTCCTCGACATCCACCTCCCCGTTTTCCCTCCTCAAGCAGGATTTTAAAGAGGTAAATATTTAATATAGCCTGTTAAACTATGTAGTGTAGTTATCATTGTTTTGTTAATTTTTTTTTTTTTGATTTGTACTCTTACAGCTGTTTGTATTGTGTTATTTCTTTAGGTAATCTGCTGCTGATGGAGTTCAACAGGAGAATCCTCCTCTTCCTCCACCTCCCTGTTTTCCCATTCTCCCTTTTCAGCAGGATTTTGGAAACCTGTTAATCTCTATAGGCTATTATAGTTACCGTTTTAATTTTCATTTCATTTTTTGTTAGATTTTCTAAAAATATTTAATTTGTTCATTATGACCATATGTGAATAATTTCAGTTAATGCCAATTATTTTATTTTCTCTTATCTTTTATTTGTTAATTTTGTAGATAACTTTTTTTTTTACAATTTTAACAGATGTGTGAGAATTTAATTTTATTTTATACACACATGCTCTTTTTTTTTTTTACATTTTATTATATAATAAACTAGTAAATTTCTCATCACTGTTCATTCTATCTGTGAAATAACCTCATGTTCGAGCCATAGGCTGTAACACACATGTATTAAAAATGGCACATACATTTAGGAAACGGAATAAAGAAGAGACTAAAAGGAATTGAATTTGCTTTGTTCTTTTTATGTTTTGCATAGTTTAATTGTATTTTAAAATTTGCGTTGTTGTTTTCACACTTTTCCATAAAGTCCTTCAGAGCCTTTACGTAGCAGCAAAGCATCTCAATGTCTTATTAACAGTTCATGCTGTCATTTTTGTTTATTTATACATTATATTATGTGTATCTTATTCCTATATCTTCATATGCAAACTTACTTGGCAATAAAGCGCTTTCTGATTATTTAATATTAATTCAATTTAATTATCACGGGAAATGTGAACCGTTGTCCATCGTTTTCCAATTGGTGATAAAGAAAAATATGACTTTGTAATATTGAAATTGGGGGGTGTATTTGTGTATTTGCTGCCTTTTACCGCTGGCACTACATTCACAGACTTTGAAAAGTGTCAGTTTATTCTCTCTATTGCGTAATCTGACGTTGAGAACTGTAGCAGATAAATTCATAATCCCAATACTGAAATGACAGTACAAATTTAGAACTGAAACAAATGTAGGCTTGTATTATTGCATCAAATTTAAGGAAGTCGGCTAAACGTTAACATTGTGTGCCCACTTTTTCTATAATTTACAAAAGCTATGCATGTCAATAAGTTAGGCTATATGTCTTGTACTTCTTATTTTAATTTGTTAGTAGATTTATTCAATGAAACTAAATGATCATAAAATTAAAACATTGATCAGGACTAGTCGGCAGCATTTGTGTTTTAGCTTCTTTATTAAGAATTAAATAGGCTTACAGTAGGATGTTATAAGCATTTTCTTTAATAAATAATGAAAACATTCCAATAGAAAAATATTACATCAATGAGGCTTTGCATGAGCAAAAAGGTTAGTTAAAGAAAAAAGACCACACATTATTTGTTCTTCAGAAAATATGCAACCATTAATGTTTTTACTCAACATTTGTGCAGTTTTTGGAGGATTTAGGATTTTTTTTTAATTTCTATAAATAAATAAATAAATATTTATTTAAATATGATTTTTACAAAAAAACAGCATTTTATGTTAAATAAACTTTATAAAAGACCCAGATTTCTAACTTTCATTCCTGGGGATACCATGGATAAGTTTACAAGGTTTAATGTAAGATTTTTGCCCTTTTTTTGGAAAATACAGGTTAAAATTTGTAATAAATCACTTTAACCACTAGATGGCTATAGAGCTCCACTAGGCCTATATGCTATTTGAATTTCTGAAAGATATAGTTTCTAAAGTTGGATTCAGTTGGATTCATATCTAAATATTATAAAATCACAATTATAACAAAAATAAAATACTTTGTCAAAGTTTAGCATTTTTTTTGTACTGAAAAAACAACAGTTTTTTCAATAATGTTACATTATGATTATAATCAAACCTGAACAACATGTTACAAAGAGAAATGTTGGAGTCTTAAAATTTGATCATTTATTTCAACTGAACAGCAATAACAAATTAGCAAATAAAGTAGTAAAAATAAAACATTTGTAAAAAAAAAAAAAACAGTAAATGGGGAAGAAAATCGAACAACTAGGAACAATAGTTTGGAACAATAGAACAATAGTTGGTCTCATCTCAGTCTCGTTTACAGTGCACTGCAGGTTTTTATGCATCATTGCACTGCAGGCAAAGGTAAACTGAATGGCTTCCGCAGACCGGGTTGGAGCAGGCATGGCACTTATGTAATGTTTTTCGATCCTTTTCACGGGAACAGAGGAAGCACCTCAACTTCTTCCTTGGGGTTGCTTGGTTGATGTGAGGTGGAAGCTTCATTTTCCACCTCCAGAGATCTTTTAGCTTTTTTTAGGAAGCAGAGAGAGGCTGGGGTGCGTGGAAAGTGCTGACGTTTCTCCATTAGGGGAGCCACCAGAGCTTTTCCAAGCTCCTCCAGGAATAGCCTTCTCCTGCAGCTTTTCCCTGCGTGCCATTCTGGAGAGATTTCGGACCAAAGCACGTGGGCATTTACTCCAGAGACGTCAAGCATGTTGTGAAACAGCACCAGTGGCCAACGAGCTGTCTTCCTTTTGCATGTGTAAGTGGCTACCATCTGCAATATTACAAACACACACACACTTAGTTCAACTGCTGTTTGATTGCTAAATAAATATGCCACTCACTTTATAACTACTATTCACATTTCAATAAAAATAGAAAATAAAAAATAAAATAAAAAATAAAATACCTTATCCAGGTTGTCCACTCCTCCTTTGGATTTGTTGTAATCCAGGATGATCTGTGGCTTTTTGTCGTCTCTGCTGCTCACTGAGGTGTCCCTGTGCAGTGTGCTCAGCAAAAGCACATTTTTTCTTTTTTTAGGACAGTACGACACAAGGCACTGTGTCTCCGTGAAGGCAAACATGGACGAAAAGCGAGCTCTGTCCTTGGTTGCAAGCAGGGCAGGTGGGAGCTCCGGCTTATTTCTTCGAATTGTCCCGACCATTGTCATTTTTCTTTTCAGCAGCTCCTGGGATAGGGCATGAGAAGTAAAAAAATTGTCACAGAATATTGTGTGACCCCACAGGCCTTTGGTGACATCAAGGACAACTCTCATCCCCTGGTTCTTTTCCGGCTGTCCACTCACAGACTTGCCCGTGTACACTTGCATTTGCCAGGCGTAGCTTGTTTGAGAATCGCATGCTGCCCAAATTTTTATGCCGTATTTCGCTGGCTTACTGGGTATGTACTGTTTGAATGGACAGCGCCCTCTAAACGGCACCAGGCACTCATCCACTGTGACATGTGGGCCAGGATTGAACATCAACGGCAGCTGTTCAACCCATTTGTTCCACATCACCCTGATTGCTGCTAATTTATCATTAGCACGTCGAGCAATTCTCGTTTGCTTGTCATCAAACCTGATGACCCTTGAGATTTTCCGGAAGGTTTTCAAAGGCATGACTGCACCAAAAATGGCCCTTCCGGAATCTGGATGCCATAAACTTTCCATGTTCTCATTGTTAGAGCGGTAAACTCCAGCCAGAATGACCACACCGATATAGGCCTGGATGTCTGCCAAATCCAGATCCGTCCACTCATTAGCATAAACCCGTCTCCCCTCCACATTTGTCATCCTAAGCACAATCGATTGAATTTCTTCTGTCAAAAACAACTCAAAGGTGGATTTGATGTCCTCAGCATGAGAACATGCATACCTTGTTATTCCTGGTCTCATCTGCAGTGCTGTCTGTGAATGTTTTGCAGGGGGTGGTGATGATGTCCAGCAAATACTTCCATTTTTTGACATGTAAGTGTCTTGCTCCCCATCAGCATCCTCTTCATCTGTAGTTTCTTCATCGGTTCCAATGGGATATTGGTCCTGCTCTTGGTTGTCTCCAGTTTCAGGAGCTTCATCCGTTTCAGAAGTGTCCTCTGATGCAGTATCTTGCACATCTTCATCATTGGAGTCGAAAACATAATCCAGGGTCTCCTGCAGACTGAACCGCTTCGCCATGTTGTAACAGAATGAACTGTGAGCTGCGTGCAAGTCACAGTTATACCTGAGCTGCAGTCACGTGACTGTTTTCAAAACAAATGTGCAGAACCAGACAAAATAGTCTGATAGCAGAAAAGGTCATCTGCCTCAAACTCTTTGATCCTGGTATCTGAACTGTGTGTGTGTGTGTGTGTGTGTGTGTGTGTGTGTGTGTATGCATGCATGGGCACATGCACGTGTCAGTGTAACCAATTTATATTTGTGGTGGTTCTGCATTTTGTATGATTTTATTTGACAAATTATAAGACTTTTTTATGGCCTTACAAATGTATTCCTGTGTGTGAGTGTGTGTGTGTGTGTGCACATTTTCAATGTGTCTTAGTGTTACCAATTTATTTTTGCGGTGGTTCTGCATTTTAGATTATTTTATTTTACAAATGATAAGAGAACAGTTTTTATAGTCTGTATGTATTCCTGTATATAGTATTCCTCTATATGTGTGTGTTTGTGTGTGTGTGCGGGTGTGTGAGCATGATAATTTTGGATTGTGGATGTTTTTTGCCTTGTTGGAAGTGTGCCACTTTATTTCTGTCATTTCTGTCTGTGTTCTGCGTTATTTCTGATGAAAAAATGATGAATTTTGTCTATTTTGAGTCCAATGATAAATAAATATGTATTTATTTATTTATAGATATTTAAAATATATCATAAATCCTCCAAAAACTGCACAAATGTTGAGTAAAAACATTAATAAACAGAGTAAAATTATATTTGTAAAAAAAAACCCTATTGTTCTGTTACAAAATTAAATTCTATTTTTTGGGGTCCAATGGACCCCGAAGACCACGAGTGTGACTATTTTTGTCACGCCTACATAAAAACAGATAACATTCCTTTTTTTTTTTTTTTTTGTAGATCTAGAAAGTGTTGAGAGCCGTAGGAAGTTTCATACCATTTGGAAAAAGAGAACATTTTTTTTAATTCAAGCAAAAGTCATTTGGGGTCCAATAGACCCCAAAGACCATCAGAGGGTTAAAAAGAAAAATATTTCTGACCAACTCTTCTCCTTGTCCAGTCTATTATGGTAGGTTTTACACGACATGTATAAACATTTGTGCTGTTGCCACAAATCAACAAGCTGATCCTCCATCTCTGCTGTGCACATCAATTTCACTTTGTGATGCGCCATGACTGCGTTTGTTATGCTTCCGCCTTCAATAATCTCGCTTTCTGATTGGATATTTTTTCGTTTAACGTGATAATCTCCAGATCTTGAGTTCACAGCTGCACTCTCGTTCACACCGTCAAGTCATCCAAACCCAGGTAAGCATAAGCCACACCTCCTGGACACTGCACACTTCCTTCACTCTTCTCTCAGACTAATTTCTCATACCGAAACACATAACTTCTCATACCTTCTTCTAACAGACAGCACACATCTCCGTAGAAACAAGACTTCTCACGTCACCAGTTCACTTCCCCCACACCCGACGAAACCATTCCCCTCCTTAAACAGGTCATCACAAATGATCAGCCTCTTCTAATTGGTCAACAGCAGAATAAAAAAATTAAAAAATCAAGTGGCTACCGGATTCCGTTCTGCCACAACATCCATCTTTGAATGAATCTGCATTTTTTTTGCATTCCCATTGAATGAACAGTTTAATGACTCACTCAAAGACAGTCCCTTCCCACCACCTAGTGGCGTAATAATGTACACAATATCTATGACAATGAAAAACTATTTGCATCTGATTTAAGTATGATGGCATCCATGCCCTCTTTAAAGTAAGCCATCAAAAGCAGAAGGATGCATGCAGACTAGGGATGTGCATCTCCATAGCTGAGGCCGATGTGATACGCATCTCGATGCATAGCCAACGATACGATACATTAAAGATACTGTAGATATTATAGTCTGCTCCGATCCAACTTCCACTCCAATATATATACGTAAATGTTCCTTCACTAAAAGACCTTATTTATCATAGAGACAATTCATTCCAATCTCAGTAATATGCACAGTCACAGTTATCACCTATAGCATGGGAACGACAGCAGGCAATCAAGAACCATCTTGATTACAGGGACTTCAAATAAATGTTATCACCTTAACATTTGACCGTTCTACGTTCTACATTGAAGTGATGTACATTGTGTTTTGCACTTTGGAGTTGTGATGATGATGATGATGTCACCTGTTAAGCATAAGAGTTCTGCCAGTCCTGTTCTCTCTATTGTAAGTTAAATGAATCAGTTGGGCTGATTGGATTATCATCAAGATGGTCAATGAGATTGTTATGCTGATGAGATCAGGACTGGGGAAATGGGCTGACTCCTGTACTTCATTTACATGCTGAGGAAGACGAATGGAATACAGTATAAAATGTTTGAGCTGAGATTATTTCTGGGTTCATTCTGACGCCGGTGAAACCAAGGTGCTTCGTGTACCTTGCTACTGCTATGCTGTAATAAACTTCATTTTTGAGATCTTCGACGTCCACTTAATTTTTTCTTACAATACATATAAGCAGCTAACAATGCGATGCAATACAATTCACTACTATTACGATGCGGTGCGATCCGATTTCGATTCGATTCAATGCGATGCGATTCAATGTAATACGATGCAATGGAGAAAAATATGATGCTATGCAATTCAATATGGTATAGATAGTTAACTTTTATTTATTTTATTCAGACATGACAAATCATAAAGTAGCTTAAGTGCCATCCGACTTTTAACTGTATTCAGATGTAAAATATATATATATGAAAAACTATTATTGGCAGTCACAGGCTGCTGTAAACCAGATTAACTTAAATGTCCTACTTTAAGGTTTAAAGGTAGGTGACTCTCAGGACACGCCTCGCACTCCGTAGTGTTGTGATACGTCATATTCATGTAGCAGCTGCAGCAGTCGTGATGAGAGAACGCGCTTGAGCAACAGTTCAGAAAGAAGAAATCTAGTCGACCTGGACGCGCGAATAAGGCGAAATCGTATATAATTATATATGAATAAATCGTTTTTTTACCGATGCAGATGTTAGAAACGATGCATCGCGATGCAAATGCCAACTTGTGTCCGATGCACACTTCGAGACAGCAGAAATACTTTTTCCCTTTGATCAACTACAACCATACACTAACTACACGCACAAGAGAGAACCTGGACATCCTGAACCAGATAATCAGAGATAAAACATCATACATCCCCCTCTTGCCAAACACCAAATTCAGAACCACCGCAGATAAAATACACTGGACCGAACCAACCGGGATAGCAATGGCGGAGCACTGGCTCAATTTCATACGTGCGTAAGGTACAGAAGAACCCACCTCTCATAAGAAAACCACAGAAAAGGGAGATAGCGAAGAAAAGAGAAGAGAGAGACGGTGAGGAGGAAGTGAAAGAAAATTCAGAGACTCAATAAACCAGTTGAAAAATGTTCAAAATTATTACTGTTTCAAACTGTTAAAAATGTATAGACATGTGGTAATGTTATAGATTGGTTCACCACAATTGTTATATTTTGTTTACCACTACTGTTATGTTTAAAAAAAAAACAATACAATTTCTGTTAACACTATTATTATTCAGTTCTTATATAGGGGGAAAGGGAACATGACGATCAAGGAATAAGACAATAGAGCCTTGGCTTAATGTGTCTTTTTTATTTAAATCGATGCATCGCATCGTTAGCTTTAATGCCGATGCACCGATGCGAATCGGTGAATCTTACCATCCCTAATACAGACTTGTCTGAAGTCTCTTGATCATATTCCTCCAGGCCACCTTTGATACTTGGATAATGAGTTTATTCCTGGCAGAACTTAACTATATTCCTTCTGCTGTTTACTGCCTCTCTAAACATGTTGAGGATTGGGACAGCAGTTAAAAGTCTAAAGTGAAAGAACAGACCTCTTTGAGAGAACAGGAAAAGCCATTCCTCAATCTCTGAAATGGATGGTCCAGGGACTTTGTTAATGTGCTGGCGTTGGAGAACATAGGTCTTCTCCATTAGTGGCTCAGCTCTTTCTGCTCCAGTCATTCCTTCTTCAGAAAAGAGATTGAGCAGCTGCCTTTCCATGTTCTCCAATGATACAGTTGTTTCTCCAAAAGGAAGTTCCTTGTTGCACCACCTCATACATCCATAGATGTCCATAGAACCTCTTCTCACATGTCTGTAACACCCATCTCCCATCATGTCACCATTTTTTCCAACATCAGCACCCTAACCCTAACATTTGGGATACTCCTTCACAATAAACTGAACAACACTGTGACACATAGCTCGGGTAGGGTTAGGATCATGATGTAACATCTGAGCCACAACTGCCTTTACCATATTTAGCCAGCAGCCATATCACGCTGTAGCCCAAGACTGGTTGCCCACTGTGAAGCTAAGCAGGGCTGAGCCTGGTCAGTACCTGGATGGGAGACCTCCTGAGAAAACCAGGTTGCTGCTGGAAGAGGTGTTAGTGAGGCCAGCAGGGGGCGCTCACCCTGTGGTCTGTGTGGGTCCTAACGCCCCAGTATAGTGACGGGGACACTATACTGTCAAAGAGCACTGTCCTTCGGATGAGACGTTAAAAACCGAGGTCCTGACTCTCTGTGGTCACAAAAATCCCAGGATGTCTTTCCAAAGAGTAGGTGTGTAACCCCGGCATCCTGGTCAAATTTGCCCCAGTGGCCTTTGTCCATCATGGCCTCCTAATCATCCCCATATATATATATATATACTAATTGGCTTCATCACTCTGTCTCCTCTCCACCAGTAAGCTGGTGTGTGGTGGGCGTTCTGGTGCAATATGGCTGCCGTCGCATCATCCAGGTGGATGCTGCACACTGGTGGTGGTTGAGGAGATTCCCCCCTTCTATGAAAAGCACTTAGAGTGCTGAGAAAAGCGCTATATAAAATGTAATGAGCGCTATATAAAATGTAATGAATTATATCTCTCCTGTCACCAGATGATGGCCTTGATTTGCTATAGCATTACAAACTCCTGTTGGAATCCGATCCCAGTTTAAATACCATGGGCTGATAAACAGTGGGCGTAACAAGTAGTTAGAAGTGCTCTGGGAGCTGGAGGGTTGCACAGGAGAAGTACCTTGACTGCTTGTGGAGATAGATGGAGAGTCAGTACCTTCTTGTGACATAGTTGAATTGAGGAAGAGGGACAGCTTATTGTCTTAAATTGTAAGGAGGAGGGGGTTAGGTTGGTGAATACCCCAAAGTGATGCCTGTCCACCATTCAGGGGCATTAGAGTAGAACAGCAGGGAATGTTCGGCCAGGATACCATATTTCGATGGACTCTGAGACTGTTATGTGGGTCACTTGTTCGATCTCTTGTCCTTCCTGGGAGAGGTGATCCACTGCACGGTCTCCTACAAAACCAGTCCCAAACTTTGTAATTTTATTAAAAGGTGTTTGTTTAGTTTTAGTCTAGTTATGTGTATGGCCACATCTACCCCAACTGTCCACTCGTACTAAACCCCATGGTGCGTGCGTCCCAGTTCTGCACCAAATAGGTGTTCAAGGAGGGAGAAAATGGAAAAAAGTAAATAAATAAATGAATAAACAACTAATAATAACAATAATAAAGAGAAGGGGATAGGTTCATAGATTGGTTTTATAGGCAAGGAAAGTTTATTTATATAGAACATTTCATAAACTAAGGCAATTCAAAGTGCTTTACAGAAAATAATTAAAATAATCACAAAATAAAAGCAAGGAAAATTAAAACAGTTATAAAATAAATTAAAAGAGATACAGTATATGATACAGTTATAAAATAAATTAAAAGAGTAAAAATATGATACATTGATAAATGTTACATAGGCAAAACACCGGTGCATCATATTTTTCACAATTCCCAGTATTACTCTGAGATTTTCTCATGGTGATTACACTGTGTCTGGGGTGTTCTTTCGGTACCTCTCCGATGGATCCGATTTTTCCCTAAATGTAACTGGGAGCCAGTGTAAAGACCTGAGGACTGGTGTAATATGTTCATATTTTTCTAGTTCTGCTCAGAATCCTGGCAGCAGCGTTCTGTATGAGCTGCAACTGTCTTATGGTCTTTTTGGGAAGGCCAGTGCGGAGACCATTACAATAATCCACCCTGCTGGTGATGAAAGCATGAACAAGTTTTTCTAAGTCTTGCAATATTTTTGAGATGTTAGTATGCTGATTTATAGATGTTAGTATGCTGATTTATAGATATTTGTATTCAGTATCTGATATTAATAATCATCAGAGGCATCCAAGCTGCGAATGCTCTGCATACCAAAGCCATTCGATGACTCACTAATTAACATTAACGGTATAAATTCACTTTAATTTTCTTTAAAAAATCTGCCAGTTACGATTAATCATCACGGTCTAAAGTAATGTGAAGATTAAGCAAATTAGTCCGGTGATAGTCTAGTTTGTGCTGGATTTTGTCCTCCGCATATAAGCTTAATAAAGCCTGAACCTCGCAAACAACTCTTACTGCACGCACGGCAACAGACTTTTTAAAAATAGTGGTAGAAATAAAATGCTGCATGGAGTTAACAAATCAAAATACTGTGTTAACTCAACCAATCAGCATGTTCAACGCCCAAGTCCCAACCCCAAAAGTTCCTGAACTTTGAAAAAGTACTACATCGCAAGTAGGGACTTTCTGAGGGTAGGGCTGTCAACTTTAGTCGTTTAGTCGACTACTCGGTCGATGCCGTCTTGGTCGACTAGTTGCATTTTTTTTTTTTACCAATAGAAAGAAATTTTCAATGCTTTACTCCTTGATATTTATTCCTTTATAAGCAGTTAAATAATACTGTATTCTACATATAATTAGCCTATGGTTTATCCCCAACTTTAAATGCTTTAATTTAAGCTATTTTGTAACAGCGCCACAGTTTAGCGCACACACGTAGAACACTCGGTTCGCACCTGTGGCTGGCTGCGCTGCTGCTTCGTGCTCAGTAAGGGATATAGGTAGTTTAGCTGTATTCATTCAGTTAGAACGCTACTTGTTTCGGTTTTTATACACTATATGTTTTTATCTCGATGCGGCGTGGACGCACTCGGAAAAAAAAGAGCGCGTCGCACCGCGACCGCGTTGCTTCCATCATGAGCGCGCACACCGCGCGCCTACATTTGAAATCGAACTTGAGCGCGCAAAAGACGTGAGCAGTCCCTTTAACAGCTTTATTATGCTGACTCAATAGATTGTGTTTTCTTGATATGTTTTTGTTTTTATTTGTACACTTGACGCATTTGAAAATAGCCTAAATAATGTAACAAAACGAAAATAAACCTTTATGCGGTCCTACAATACAGCCTATTATTATTAGGATTGTTTTTTAGGCTCTTTGGGTTTTTGTGTCTTTGTTTTAAAACGCCTAGATCGGCTGAACAAAAGTTAACCCATAGCTTTGAAAGTAAAGAAGAATATACAGCCTGTATAAACGAGAGCTTTTGTTAGGATTTTTCATTGTGGCAGATAGCAGTTATATTTTTTGTAGCGTGTGGTGTGGTCAGGTGCGCGATTGTGACTGTTACTATAGACCTAGGAGGACAGAGCTCCTCACTTTTTGCAGTTAAAAATAAAATCACTTAATTTTCAAAGAATTGTATTATTATTATAGTTTTATGTATTTTTTATGTTTTTTCGTCGTTGTTTTATAAATGCTCTATGACAATTGTTAAAAAAAAATCAATCTAAACATCGCGTCTTTTTTTTTTTTTTTTTTTTTTTTTTTTGTCGACTAATCGTTGCGCAGGACAAGACTTCGGTCGACTAAGGATTTCTTTGGTTGACTACAGCCCTATCTGAGGGGGAGATTTTAATAAAGTCTTAATAAAGCAGCATCGAACTGCAATTACACTGAATCGTTCTTCTTCAGACTTTGACTTGTCACAGTTACAAGCCTAACATAGAAATCTCTCACCGTCTTCAGCGGACTGAAACTCAAGCTGCTATTGTGAGCACGCCTCTCCCCTGCTGTGTGTGTTCTGGTGAAAAGACCAACAAGCAGTGATGGGAATAACGGCGTTATAAATAAACGGCGTTACTAACGGCGTTATCTTTTTCAGTAACGAGTAATCAAACGAATTACTGTTTCCCCCGTTACAACGCAGTTACCGTTACTGACAAAAAAAAATTTGGCGTTACTATAATTGAACTCACTGAAGCGGCTTTCATCCGAGTAGGCTCTCTCTCCGCTATAGGACCTGCAAAGTTTTTTTCTCTGGTGTGTGTGTGTGTGTGTGTGTGTTTATGAGGCGCCGGAGTGGACAAAAGCGAAGCGATTGGCGCGAGCGCGCTCAATGCGCGAGAGAGTCCGAATGTGTCCGAGAGCGCGCTCAACAGTTGCGCAAGAGAGACCGAGGGTGTCCGAGCATTATATAGTTTGTTTATAAATAAATGACACATATCTGCAACGTTAATTAATTTACAGGGTTATACAAGTAAAATCTAAAAAATTACCGTCAGGTAACGTTCTGTTTAGGTTATAAAATAAACCCGAAAATAACCTGCAGGGAACATTCACAGAAAACATAGGCTATTTGTTTGACCGGTTGTAAACACGTGCGGCAAACATGTCTAGAATTTGGCTTAAATAATCTCTGATGATAACGTTCGCTATTATAAAAATAAACCCCCAAAATATTATATTTTAGTATAATATTTTTTTTTTTTTTTGTAAATTGTTCAGTATTATATTGAGAGAGCACTTGTTAAACTGTTTACTTTTGTTAGGAAGAAAATACTCAGGCTACAGTATGTCTACTAGTTGTGAAGTTGTGTAACAGTTTTATCATTTTAATATGCACAAAGAGTATGCATATTTTTTATTATTATTTATTCATTTTTGGTACATTTCTTAAGAAGCATAATTTATTTTTAAACTTATTTGTTGGTCAGTTGGGGTCTGTGCGATATTAAGTAAACCATCTATAATGTTTTATTGGTCTACTATAGTAATGCTAATATTTAGAATAATATATTGAATTTAATAGGCGTCTCTCACATTGTCCCACAGCAACATTAAAATAGAATAAATTATTATTATAAAACATTGAACACTAATCTACACTATTAAGTGTCCATTCCATTAATTTAACATATTTAATACTGGGGGCATCCAAATTATTTGACATAGGCCTATTTGATTTTTTTTTTTTTTAAGTAACGCAATAGTTACTTTCTCTGGTAATTAGTTACTTTTATAATGATGTAACTCAGTTACTAACTCAGTTACTATTTGTGAGAAGTAACTAGTAACTATAACTAATTACTTTTTTTAAGTAACATGCTCAACACTGCCAACAAGAAGCTGAGCTCGTGACTGAGGCGCTGTCAAAAGCAGTCATATATTTGCGCTTTTAGATATTGTTCATCCAAGGCATCACTGAAATATATAAGTTTTTGTTTATTTAAATGAAAAGTTAAGTTCTGTATTATTATCCTCTCTTACTGTTATATGAATTAATTAGTGAAACAATTTTTAAAAAAGGTTTAGGGGGGGGGGGGGGGGGGGGGGGTTGGGGGGGTTGGGCGCGACAAAAAAAAGTTTGAGAACCACTGCGTTAACAAAACACTTTGTCACATGTGATATTTATGGATCCTGTCTCTCTCAGTGCTGAAACTCTTTATACAAAGTTACATGTTTAGACAGCTCAGACTTGTATACAGTAATCTATTTTCAAACACACATTAGTTCTCATTAATACAGATTCATTTGTTAATGATTCTTCATGATTTCCATTTTAAATCATACACTGAAGGTTCAGTATTATTGGAATCACATTCTGCAAAGCTCATCTTATCTTAAGGGAAACAGTAGGAAACCACTGAAAGTGTTGTAGTTTTCGTGGTTATCTGCTATACTCCCATTTGACCTAAGTCTCACATAGACGACATCTCCAGCCTCCAGAATCAACACAGCTCCATTCGAGGAGTTTTTCAAGTTTTTCTTTCCCTGAGCCGGAGCCTGTTCATCATGTGCAATAACCACATGCTCTCCATTCTTAAAGATGGCTGCATTTGCTGCAGTTTCGCCATTACCATGTACAGAGATTCTGAACATGTACGCTCCTTTCAGCGGCGCTGTGAAAATACCTAAATCAAATAACAAGAGATACAGAATCAGATATTTCCTGAATGATCGCTATAGTTTTGCAATAGTTTTGAAATATGGCAGATCATTTAATTCTCTTATACACATTACATAACTGCAGAGAGGTCTGAATGGAGCAGAAGGGTTTTCATTACTATAAACTAAGTTTTAAGACTCATTTCATTGATCATTACCTGTGATTGGGTTGTAGGAGTTCCCTATGTTTGTGAAGACTTTCCTGTAGGTGAGTGTGATATCAGTGGTAATAGGACCAATTTCTAAATAGCCAGATGAAATCAGTCCCGCTGAAAAAGCTATTTTTCTGTCTGTTATTAAAAAACATAAGCAATATTGTGAATATCACTCTATTACACTGAGAATGTATACACAGAATTTAACATAATTCAAGCAGTTTCACCTCTATTTTCCTTTCTCAACTCCACTTGACCCAGAGTAAGATTTGATATTTCTGTGAAGGAATAAAGATTCTATTAAATGACATTTATTCTACTTATTGTAATAGATTGACTAAACAATTTACACAGTATACATTGAATCTTACACTAACATTTACACTATGCAATGTATTGCATTGGTGTTTTACTTTGAGGATCATTGATAAAAGAGTGAATGTTTTGGTGAGGTACCATCATTTTTCTTGTTCAGCTCTTCCAGAATAAACGTCTGTTGTTCTGCAGCCTTCTCCGCATCCCTCAATCGCGTTTCTAAAGCTCTGATGTGTGTTTTCTGCTCTGTAACTGTGGCGGTCAGTTCTCTGATGTTTGTTTTCTGCTCTGTAACTGTGGCGGTCAGTTCTCTGATGATGGTTTTCTGCTCTGTAACTGTGGCGGTCAGTTCTCTCAGCGCTGCATGGATGTCAGTGAAGAACAGATGGTAGTTTTGTCGGCTGTCAGTTGAAGCTTCATCTCTCGAAGTGTCTGTTTGAGGTGTATTCTGTCCTCCGTCCTCAGATCTGAGCTGTTGACTGATCTCATTCTCATTGAGTCCTCCATCTACCTGATGCTGTACTAAATTCATCATTCTTCACTGATGTTTGTTTCCAGCTCTTGCTCTGTCGTCCTCACAGCCTCTCATGTTCCTTTTATAGTGTCCTGATTTACTGTCTTTGTACATGGGGGTTTATATTGCTTCAGATAAATAAGTAGTTTAAGTTAATTGTTAATCCTATTCAAAGGGATGTTCCGGGTTCAGTAGATGTTTAACTCTGTTCATAACATTTGTGGCACTATGTTGATCACAACAGAAAATAACTCTGATTCATCTCTCTCCCTTTAAAAAAAAACACAATTATATAGATCAGCGGTCGGCATCATTATACCACGCAAAGGGAAAATCACAGAAACCTCCGGTCTCGTGAATGGATTGTCGGATCTCACACTTTAATAATATTTATTGGACAGGCTGTGTGACTGTGAGGAATGATTACCTCAAGATGTACGTCCATATGTAAAGTTTAGTGACTTTATTTAAATTAAATACATTAGCTATTGTCACGTGCCAGTGACTATCCCGACCTCTGATATATTTATGACCTCTGATATAGATGGTCACATGACTCTCTGGTACCATGTGCATATCTTACAAAAGTTACCAGGTTTACCAGATTTATGTTATGACATAAAAAGAGGAAACATTGGATATAAATGTACACAGACAAAATTAGTAAGTGATGTTTGAAATAATGCGTGTTTTAATATTTACTGCTTGGCAAATTTATTTCCATTGTAAGTGCCTGACAAAAAAAATTAAACTAAAGAACGAGTTGACAGTTATTTCTGTGATTGATATCATTCCACAAATCCACAAAATGAATGTAATTAATTAATGGGGGGTTATAGGGTGGTTCTGTAAAAGTTTTCTGTTTTAGTTCTCATGCAGAGTTGTCACTCTAAAAGTACACTGTATGTAATACTACTGTTAATACATCTATCTTAATTTTCCCTTTGTTTGCCACCGCCACTCTGGTTGCTTTAGGACAATTTAAAGCGAGTAAATTTGATGAATTTTCATTTTTGGGTGAACTATCCCTTTAAATAGGGTGTTTTACGACACATCTTTACCTTCACAGGACACATGTGCTTTCCACTATTTACCTTCTAGTGTTTTCAAACATTCAAGTATGTCATGTATTTTAACTTTCGTTATCCTAGCATTAAGTTTAAATCCTATATTTTCCTATGAAGTCACCTTTATTTGTATAGCACTTTTTACAATACAGATTGTATAAGCAGCTTTACTATCGTTATCATCTCTGCTTCCCCTTTAAGGTTTGTTGGAAAAAATGCGTATTTGTGAAGTAGTGGGCAGGTGAATGCTGGGAGTGTAAACAAAAAGTATAGTGGAAGCAGTCTGAGTTTTACGGTGCGAACGTAGCAGGCTATGCTCCAGTTAAATGCTAGAAAGAAAAGTGCCTTGTATGCCTGTGAATGTGTACCGCTGTAAATAATAAAGCCCGAGTTCATTGTTGAAACCAACCGACGACTACAGTGTGTGCTTCAGCTCTGTTAGCCCGGACCACTATAAGCAAGTTAAAACATATGAAAGCGCTATATAAATGCCTCATTCATTCATTCATTCATGATAACAGGAAAATAATGCAACAAAATTGGTTTCTAGAAGAATAGCGTCACAGCCCAGCTTAAGTAAGTTCAGTGTCGATTCATTTCCATAGTAAAAATCATTAGTTATTAATTTAGTTTATTTATCTGCACAGCAGCTCTGGAGAAAACAGTGATGTCATCATCCAGCTCGGTTCAGTTCTCATCGAATGTTGTTATTCAGATCAAGAATAATAAGTGTCCCCAGCTAAGCAAGCCAGTGGCAAGGAACCAAAACTCCATCAGGTGACAGAAATAGAAAAAAACTTTGGGAGAAATCAGGCTCAGTCGGGGGCCAGTTCTGGCCAACGAACAAACAGTGTAATGATTGTGATTCAGGTGACATCACGGTTCAGTAGTCAAATGGGGATCGAAACATTAAAAATATTTAATCCAGTTCCATCTGGTTGAAGATCGGATTCATTGGTATAGAGGCGGGTTTGTTGAGGATCAGTGCCGATGGCTGTCGTGTCGATGAGGCCTTCACAGGGGAGAGTCTAGTTAACACAATCTCTGCTGACATTCAGGGATGCTTTGTGGTCGTGTCTAAGTGTAGATCCAATATCTTATCTAGATACGACCCGGATCTGGCTGACTACAGTAACCTTGGGATAAACAGAGAGACTAATATTAGCGTAGATGCCATTCTTCTAATGATGTTACAAGTACATCGGGTGTTATGGGAAGTGTTCCCGGTTCTAGCTGACCTTGTTTATGCAACAATTATTTAACTGATTTGATTTATAGATACTGATATTGTGTTGTGTATGCCGGGTTAAAGAAGTGTGTTTTTAGTCTAGATTTAAACTGACAGAGTGTGTCTGCCAGGGGTGTCAAGTAACGAATTACAAATACTCACGTTACTTTTTTTTTTAAATCAGAAATTGCACTTTTTTGAGTAGGTTAAAAATGGTGTACTTTTACTTGAGTACATTTTAAGTGATCTATCAGTCCCTTTACTCTGCTATTTTCCTTCCGTGTGTGGTCGTTACTCGTTACATGCTTGTTTTATTTATTGTTATCCATCAACGTGATTGGATCGAGTATTCGGTCTCGTGACTGTCTTCAAATAAAATTCTGCATTGAAAACTTAAAACACCAACTGCTTTTAATCATGGCTGCTGTGGAAGTGCATTCTTCAAGCATCAATTCAATCGAGATATCAGCGTGCTAAGGTACATTTCACATTTATGCTTAGTAAATTTCTTTATATAGGTAGGCTTATCTACAGGGCCTGACATTTGGTGTGAGGTTGGGGGTAGTGTTGTGTACGACTCCCTCAAGTGCCACGTTCAAAATGTGGTGAATTCCCGCTCCCCTTTGCTTATATTTAGAGACCCGTGATCTGTGCAGTCAGTGTTTCGTCTCTCCCTCGTGTGCTCGTCTTGCACTTGGAGAAGTCGGCAGCTCGTTGACTCTTGAGGAGTTTAGTATGAGTAAAGGTGTGCTGGGGACACTCTAAAACGCTTAATGTGGAAAAACACCTTCTGTACTGAAATTGGAGGACCAGATTCAGTATGACCCATGGCGCTAACTTGTACTGCCTTTCTGTCAGTGTGTGACTATACCAGGTTAATAAACAATGGGTTTTTTTAATATACTGCGTGCTTTTCTGTCAGTGTGTGACTATAGCTGGTTAATAAACAACGTTTTTTGAATGATCCATTTCATACAATCCACCTTCATTTTTTTTTTCCATTCACTGCAAAGAGTATGTGTGTGTGTATTTTGAAAAAGTTTCCTTAATGCACAATTTTCCTTACAAATTATATTATCAGCATAACAATTTTATGTAAATGTAGCTGTGTAAAATGTAAGGGATGATGCCCCCTTCTAGAACAATGTGCATTTACATTAACATATTTAATGTAATGCAATTACGGTGTTATTTGCTCACTATCTTAGCCTTTTACAGTGCATTAGGTGAGGTAAACATAATATCAGTGATTTTTATTTCTTTATCAAAACACTAAAACTGGTACAGTTTTGGAGAGAAATTGGGTGTTTTGAATCTCTATTTAACCCATCTTCATGGTGTGTGATTCTGAACTCTCGTATGAGTTTCTACAAGTTTTTGATTTCTTTGCACTGTTCCGAACGTTGATATTTTATGTGCAACAATTGCACGCTCAGGCTCAGTGGCTTTTTGCTCTTTGGGTGCTCCAGCCCCTGCCCTTTTTCAAAATTAATCAAAAGTGCCCTTCTCAAACAAATATCAATGATAATATTTTGGTCAATAGAACAAATTGCATTTGATTTTTTTTTTTTTTTTGCTAAAGTTATGCGTTTTAAAATGAAAAAGCACTGGTCTACACGTATAACTTAGGTATTCCACAGTCTGCTCGGGTACCGATGCTCTCGATCCAAATATGGTTCTTTCAGTGAGTAACGTTAGGCCTATATGGCTCCACCATATCATTTTAACCTTTTTTTTTTCAATAATAAAAGGTAACGTTAGTGTGTCGATTCAATTAAAAAATCAACATAGCACATATTTAAAAATATTACATAATTCATTGAAGCCTGTTTGTCATGTGTAATACACCAACCAATCGTCATCAGGCACAAGTAGTTCAAATTTCATTGGACAATGTGAAGTGGAGCAGTAATTTTCAGGTCATTCATAAATCGTTTGAAAATTACATGGACAGACGAATTTACATTTATGAAGCGATCTGAATCTGCGTCGTTGAATCAATGGATTCAATGACTACAAAGCACTGCACAAAACCAGCACCAAAAGTAGCATTAACGGTAAGTAATACTAGTAGCCTGTTCAAGTCACTTGTATTTTATGTAAATTGATACAACGTTTATTATGCAGTAAACATAATGATGCATAGATAATTATGCAGCAATAGTATAATAGTACAGTACTACTGGTCAAATATTTGGACACTTCTATTTTAATGTTTTTTTTTTATACTATTTTCAGGATCAATTGATGAATAAAAAGTTAAATAGAACAACATTAAATCTTTACTGTCACTTTATCAATTTAGCACATCCTTGCTAAATAAAAGTATTAAAAGAAAGAAAGAAAGAAAATTACTGACCCCAAACTTTTGAACGGTAGTGTATTTTGGTACAAAATATTTATATTTTAAATAAATGCTGTTCTTTTTTTAACCCTCTGGGGACCAAGGGGTTTTTGGGGCCCTTGGGATGTTTTGACATGCACTGACATTTGTGCTTTTTTCAGTTATTTATAAACATGTTTATGGCAAAGGTGTAAATTCACTCTATATAGCACAAACGGGGCTACCATAATATGTTAACAACATGTATGTACATGTTTGTATTTTTGAGAGAATATTATTTATGCATGGTTATTGAAAAACTTAAAAAATAAAAGTTTCTGAAATAAGGCCACAAAACACATATTGATTATTTCTTCACAAGACTTTTGAAAATTGTATCACATAGTCTAGAATATTTGCTCCAAAACTA